GAAATAAAAGAGGAATTAAAAAGTTCCTGGAAGTCAATGAAAATGAAAAACACAACCTACTGGAAACCTATGGGAAACAGCAAAGCAGTCCTGAAGAGGAAAGTTTATAGCCATGAGTTGTCATATATTAAAAAGACTGAATGATCCCAAAATTCAAAATCACCTAATGAATACACCTCAAACTCTAGAAAAACAAGAACAAAGCAAATCCCAAAACAAATAGGAGAGAAATAATTAAAAAAATAAGAGCAGAAATCAACGAAATAGAAACACAAGAAAACCATACAAAGAATTAATGAAACAAAAAGTTTGGTTCTTTGAAAAAATAAACAAGATCAACAGACCCTGGCAAACCTGACTACAATGAGAGAGAAAAAACCCAAATTAGTAGAATCAGGAATGCAAAAGGGGAAGATAAACAACAAAACACCTCATGGAAGTCCAGGAACATCAATCAGAGACTACTTCAAGACCTAATATTCAAATAATTGAAAAATCTTAAAGGAAAATGGACAGAATTTCTAGATACATCTGATCATCCAAAACTGAACCCAGGAGGAAATTTAATCACCTGAAATAGATCTATAAACAAATGAAATTGAGGCATGCATCCAGAGTTCCCAAAAGAAAGTCCAGGACCTGACGGATTCTCTGCTGGAATTCTATCAGATCTTAAAGAACTGATCCAAACCATCCTTAAACTGTTCCAACAAAAGAAAGGGAAGGAAAACTGCTAACACATTTTATGAAGGCAAGTAATTACACCTATCTCAAAACCAGGCAAAGACAACCTCCAAAAAAAGGAGAACTATAGGCCAATCCTCCTTAAATGAACATTGATGCAAAAACCCGAACAAACTAATGGCAAACCGAATTCAACAACAAATCAAAAAGATTATTCACCACAACCAAGTAGGCCTTCAATCCCAGGAATGCAGGGGTGTTCAACATCAAAATCAATAAAACGTTAATAAACTAATATAGTTTTTGCTACAAAAAAAACAAAAGATTTTCCTTTTTACTAGAAAAGAAATCTCTATTAAAACCTAGGCAACAAAAACTCAATACTAATATAATGTCTTCTATAATATTCACTCCCCTTTCACCCTCTTTGTTCTTCTGCTCCTTTTAACCTGATGGCTTCTCCCCTGCCTCCAACAAACCAGTCCCATTTAAAAATTATGTCTATTAATTTTTTATGGTCTAGATTTTGTTGTATGAAGCAAAAACATGATATTTGCCTTTCTGAGCTCACTTTACAGCATGGTCTCCCAGTTCTAAACCCATAATTCCTTACAAATAATTAATTGTGTCGAATAGCATCCACTGTATATTTGTAAACCACAGTGTATTTATCCAATCATCAAGTTGGTGGGGGCACCTTAGGCTGCTTTCTGCAATCTTGGTTATTGTAAATTGTGCGGCTATAACATAGGTATGCAGGTATCACTTTTTTTCAAATAAATGCCTCAAAAGTGGTATAGCAGGATTCATATGACAGCTCTATTTTTAGTTTCTTACCTCCATTCTGATTTTCATAGTGGCTGCCCTAATTTACATCCCCTCCCAAAAGTGTAAAAGATTTTCTTTCGCCACTCACCCCCCAGCATCCTCAACAGCAATTGTTTGTTTTCTTAATGGCTAGCCATTCTAACTGAGGCAATTGAAAAGTAAGTCATTTTTGATTTGCTTTCTTTAATGCTAGGATGTTGAAATATTTCTTCATGTATTATTAGCCATTTGTTACTGTTTTTGAGAATTCTCCAATTAATTTTGCACAATTTATTAAATTGGATGTTTGTGGGTTTCAGTGTTTTAATTAGCTCTTTAATGGATTCTGAATATTAACCCATTTTTAAACAATGAATGCTTGCCAAAGATCTTCTCCCATTCTGTAGGTTTGTCTCAGAATTCTGGTAATTGCTTCTTTGATATGCAGAGAAGCTTTTTATTTAATGCAATCCATTTGTCAATTTCTGGCTCTTAATCTTCTGAGTAATGAGAGTCCAGTTAAAGTAATTGCCCTATGCCTTGTATCTTCATAGTTTTTTCCTGTAGTAGTTACAATGTTTTTATATCTTACATTTAGATCTTTTGAATCATTTTTTAATTCATTTTTATACAAGTGAGAGATAGGATCTAGTTTCCATCTTCTACATGTAGATATCCATTTTTCCCACAACATTTGTTGAAAAGAGACCTTTCTTTTTGGCACTTTTGTTAAAATCACCAACCCTTTGCCTCGCATGCTCAGGGCACCAGACCTGATTCCTAGCACCACTCGATAAGAGGAAAACTATCTGGAAGTCTCTTTTATTTCCTAGTGTCTGGGTTGGTGTTGTACATAGGTTTAAGGGCTTGGCTAGCCAAGGTCACTTGTGTAAATAAATTAATCATTTCTGGGCAGCCCTCACCATTCTTGTGTGCATTTCGGTGCAGCCTCTTTCCATTCTTGTGTGCCAGAGTCACTGGCTTGGCTGCAACAGAGGTTTTTAGTCTACAGGCAAGGTTCTTACTTAATGCACAGAACACCCATTTGTGTCCCCAGGGGCAGTACCATGTAAACCTCAGAGTTAATCCCCAAATGCGTCTTACATTGGGAGGAACAAACAGAACACTGAGTTCTTCATTGGTGCATCTTTATTAATATAACTATAATAAAAATGTGGAAGAAATTAAACTACCACAACAACATCCATATAAAATAATTAGAAGTTATAGAAATATTAAGAAAATTAGATTCATAATCTTAATACTTCCCAAAAGAAATCTTCAATCACCAATGACTTTTTTGGGAATTCTGTCACATGCTTAAAGAAAAATTATCTGGGCGTGGTAGCTCATACCAGTAATCTCAGCTACTCAGGATGCAAGGTCAGCAGGATCATAGTTTGAGACTACCCTGGGCAAAAAATTAGTGAGATCCCCATCTCAACAAATAAGCCAGACATAGTGACTCATGCCTGCAATCTCAGCTATGCTGGAAGTAGTAGGAGAAGGTGGAGGATTATGGTCCAAGGCTGGTCCAGGGCAAAAATGCGAGACCGTATCAGAAAAATAACTAAGGAATAAAAGACATGACTCAAGTAGTAGAGCATGGCAGAGCCTAGCAAGCATGAGGCCTGGAGTTCAACCCCAGTTTACCACTAAAAAGAAAAGGAAGAAAATTAACACCATTTTTTCACAATCTCTCAGAAAAATAAAGAACTTGTTCCAATTCGTTCTATGAAGCTATTATCCATCAATACCAAACTTAGAGAAAAAAAAACAAGAAAGAAACTACAGATCAATATCCCCCATAGGCATAGACCACAAAAATCTGTAAAAAAATATTAGCAAACAGATTTCAGCACTATGCAAAAGAAGAATTATATACCCTTACTACAAGGTAACATTACAATTATACAATCCTGGTTTATATTGAAAAATAAACAATGTATCTCCATATTGATAGATTGGCCAAGAAGAATATGCGATTATATCCACAAAGCAAAAACATGTTGCCAAAATTCAATACATAATAACATAATTTAAAAAACTCAGAAAACTAGGAATACAGGGAACGTCCTCAACTTGATAAAGAACACCTAAAAGTACCTACAACTGGCATTACAACTGATGGTGATATGAATGCTTTCTTCCTACAGTTGGGAATAAGGCAAGTATCTCTTTTTATTAGTATATAATTTTGTACATAGGTGACACATTGTGACATTTACATACATGCTTACAATACATCTTTATTTAGAATTCACCCCATCAGTCTTCCTCACCCTTTCCCCTTCTTAGAAAAAATTCAACAGATTCATTGTTCTATTTTCATACATGAATACAAAATACATCCACCATATTTACTCTCCCTTACCATTTCCTTATTCTCTCTTCCTCCCAATGAGACCTACCCCTAGACAAGACCTGTTTTTATCTTCCTATCCTTCATTATTTTAAGTATTTAATTGATTATTCCAGGGTTTTTTGTCTTGGCATTTCAAGGATTTTTTCTCAGTGCTCTTTATTCAACATAATACTAGTAGTTCCAGACAGTGTATTAAGTCTAGAAAATATAAAACAGTACACAAATTGGAAAAACGAAAAATGCTATTACTATTAGCAGATGAAAATCCAAGGAATCTACAGAACTAATAAAAGAGTTAGCAAGGTCTCAGGATAAAGACCAACCTAAAATTAAATGGATTTCTACATAATAGTTATGAACAGCAAAGTCCAAATTACGATACCATTTAAAGTTGGTTAAAAAGGGTGAAATACTTATGTGTTAAATCCAAAAAGTAT